CGTCACGAGTTATTTTTATATCCATTTATTTATCTTTTTACAGATCATTGAACTTATATAAATTAAGCAATTAAAAACGTCAGAATTATTGAAGCAAATTTTATTTTATTTATGTATAGAACAATAAAATCAGGTGTGTGTCAAGAAGTCGAAATATAATGTAATTTTGAAGGACGTTTTGACTTCTTCATCATAGCTATTTGACTCAATGAACTGATTTTGGTTTTTGACGAGAAGCTTTTCAATATGTTAAAATATCTCTCTAGAAAAGATATAGTATTATTCTTTTTTTTACTTCTCGCTTGAATATTTGTCTTTTATTTATTTTCTCAAATAGTAGTTCACATACTAATATAACTTTTACACTTCTTCTATTATGTTAAATTGTACTTTAATTGAACTTCGTCAAATATGAAGTTTATTAATCGATAGTATAATTAATTTACTTTTTTTTCTTTTATTCATATAGAATTATATGGTAAGGATATATGAGTGTGAATAGATGGTAGTAAAAAATGATGAATAAAACATTTCTAATCTTGTACGTGTATACTCATACTAATATTTAAATATTTACACATGCACGCCTATAATGTTAATATCGTAATACATCGAGTCGATGTTGTTGTAGAATTTAGTCAAAATAGGGCAATTTATTGAAAGAGATTTTTGACCGATTATTAGTAATTCTTTATAAACTTCAATTATGTTTAACTCTATTAAAGTCATAGTAAATGAATATTTTTTCAGAGTCAGTCGTGACATTATTATGCAGAGCTTCATAAATCACTTTGTATAACCAAGTTTTTCTGTCAATTGATTTAATACTGTATATGTCACAGATGATGTGCATGAAGAAGAGAAGTATCTAATATTGGTAACAAAAGCCAATGATAACTGTGACTAAGGGAGTTTTTGTTAAACCAGGACTGATTGGAATCTCTTCTGTGAAATCAAGTAAAATTTGTTTATGCTTATTGATAGATAAAATTATTAAGTAAAAGGAAATTACTATTGCTCGAAACTAAGCGTGAATGTTTCATTAGCAGATCGATTAGCAAATTCACAGGAATGTTAACATCTCTACTCATCAATCGTAATGCATGACTCAGTAAAGTAATATTGAAAAACGTTGCATGTGTACGTTTACATATAATCGGTTCACGTAAAACTATACTACCCTAAATAAATCAAAGTTTCTATTTTTATATTCTTTCTATTTTTTAAATTTGATTTGCAAGAATATTACGAACATTGCCATTAGGTAAAAGCCACATCTTTTTTAATTTAAATTCTAAAAATTGAAATAAAAATCAATAATAGAGATGAAAATAATAGAAATCAAAATACCTGCATTCAACATAAACATAAGGGAAGATAAGCTATAAGAAAAATGTATAACTTATTTTTGATATAACATAAATAAAAAAAAGAAAACAAACCATTTCCTTAATTCATTCCAAAATGATACGAGTCATTTGATCTCCATCCAGTTCAACAACTGGATTAACTACTTTAATACGTTTTTAAGGTGCATTACTATTTGAATTTATGATAAAATAATTTTATTTACGAAGGTAAATATTGTACTCGAAAAAGTTGTATACTTAAAGGTTTAGTGTTTTCGTTTGATAACATTGTTCAAGTCACACTTGATTTTACTAAAGAGATGAATTGATTTGTGATATGATAGTACAACACGAGACAAGACCAACAAAGAACGAAAAAAACGCAAAAGACAATTAGGTAATCTAAACAAGAACGAGAAAAAAAAACGAAAGAAACTAAAAACCCAGCAGAAAAAATATGCAGGGGATATATGATTTCATATAAAGAAATTAAAAAAGAACAAAATTATAATTAATCAGGAGAGAATTTATATAAAAAGCTTGTCGCTAGATTATTGATTATTGAAAAGAAGTTGTCTCATTTTTCCATTACAAATTATGTTAGAGGTAAAAATTCGATAGCAATGAAAAAAAGATCTACCAATAGACAGAAAGGTAATATTATTCATCATGCATGCATTCTCATAATATGTATACATTGCATCATATAATATCAAACATATTTAATTTTGTATTCTAGATGTCTAGCTTTTTCTCATTTTCGTCAGGAACTGCAATACAAGATGAAGAAGGTATAATACCAAAATGGCTTGATTGTCCAGAAAAATCAACGATTATTAATGGTATACATCAAAGAACCTTTTAATTTGAAATAATTTTACATTTATATATATATATAGAGAAATTTGTTGCATTTAAAATGCCGATAGAAGATCAAAATATAGAAGATATTCCAGAAGGAAAACAATGGTCATGGGATACGTTAATTGAGGATATCAAAAAAGATGATAATGTAAAAATTAGTTGTTATTGAATATAAGATTATTTTTTCTTTTTATATAGCAAGAACTTGGTCTTGTCATCGATTTAACTGGTACAAATCCATACTACAATAATGATAAAGAATTTATTCGGGAAAATATACGTTATGAAAAAATTCCGTGGCCAGGGTAAGAAATTTCTTCTGCATATATCTCATGGAGTGTAATTCGTAGAATTTACCGGATAAACTTCTAAAAAAAATTAATCGAAATATGAACAAAAAATGAAATTTTGGTTGCAGTTTTGTAAAAGAATAGATCAAAATTATAGAAAAAAATCGATTTTGAGTTATCAAGCTAGTATGATAGTTTTATATGACTAATATTCTTGGAGATATTATAGTCTTATATGATGATCGAATAAGATTAGTCTATAACTCTGTTATTTGAGATTTAATAAAGAAACAAGGGGGAAGAACAATTATAGATTTAATTAATGTGAATTGTATAACAAAAACATTCTCGCAAAGTTGCCTATCAATTGAACGAATAACTATGAGATTTTTTTATAAACTGAACAGAACGTTAGAATTCTCTAGTCATACGTATCTTATTAACATATATATATATATAATGATTTATATAGCGACAATGAAATACCAACTGATTATCAAATTCAACTGTTCATTAATACATGTTATGATTTTATACGCTCTAAACCAGACAAAATTATTGGTATAATTTATTTTTTATATTTATTTCATATTGTAATTTTATAATTGCATAGGTGTTCATTGCACATATGGTTTCGATCGAACAGGTTTTTTTATCTGCGCTTATCTTTGTCAACAACTCAGGATAAGGTATAGAAATATGAAGCAATGATTTTTTTGCAATGAAATATATTTTCATTTTTAAGCATCGCTAAAGCTATTAATCTATTTGCGATTGCTCGATCGCCAGGAATTTGTAATCAAATCTATCTAGAAAAGCTTATTCAATTGTACGGTAATGAAAACATTGAACCAAACCTTGCACCACCTCTACCAACATGGTGTTCAAGTAAATATTTGTTTTTTCTTTTATACAGTTTTATTATTGTTACTTTTTAAGCGGCTGGATTACCTGAATCAACTATAAATGAACGACCACATGATGATACGAATTCTGAACAAGGCACAGAACAAACTCAACATGAAATACATACAGTAATATTTATATTATTTATTAAAAGTTCTCATATGTTGTCTGAATGAAACTTTTTTAGACATCTTCTCCAAAATTTGCTGTTGATCTTGCTAATGTTATACTCATCGATTCAGAATCAGCGGATCGTATTCGATTAATATGCCAAGAAATGTGCAAATGGGATCGGTAATTTTGTAAAAAACAAATAGTTTCAAAGTTTAATTTTTATTTATAGACAAACTTTTCCAGGTTCACGACCCGTGTCTATGGATCGCGAAAATTGTAACATTGTTTCTCAATCTTATCAAGTCAGTTGGAAAGCAATGGGTACTAGGTAAAATAAAAAATATATTTCTAATATTTTGCCTGACATATTTCAATTATAGATACATGCTGTTAATCTTAAATAAAAGTGAAATTTATATGATCGATCGTAATAATGTTGTATTTAAAATAAATTATCTATGGTTTCCACAAGATCCAAATTGTACAAATCATTTAGAGAATACACTTCTTGATGGCGTATGTCATCTAATAATACATTAAATTTATTCGAATTCTTTTCATTTTTATTTTAGGTATTTGTTACTAATAAGACTGGTAACGTAGAGGAATATCTATATTATGTTTATGATGTTGTGTATTATAATGTATGAGAAAGAAAATTTTGTTAAAGTAATTGAAATATGTTTTTTCTATGTAGAGTGAAGATGTCAGTCAAAAATCATTTATAAAACGCATGGAAATATATAAAAATATTATTAATATTAGAAATGAAGCTGTACGCACGAGTTATATGGATAACCGTTCTGAACCATTTTCAATACATGCAAAAAAATTTTGGGATTTACCAGCAGCTCTGAAAGTAAGAATATAAGAATGATTTTAAAAATTTTAAGTAACTAGTACAATTATTATAGTTACTCGGTGATAAATTTCAATCACAGCTTCGTCATGTAAGTAATGGACTTATATTTCAACCGGTAAATGATGTAAGTAGAAATCCACATTTATTTATTAATCTAACATGATATGCGAATTATTATTATTATTATATAGCCTTACATGCCCGGTGAATTTTGGCGAGTATTAAAATGGGAAAAAGATGATACAAATGCTAATGCAGAAAGTATGTTGTATTTCGAAAAATTATTTTTCTGAATTATCATTATTTTCTTTTTGTTTAGCAACAACAGATAGTAAATTTCTAAGATATTTGAATTATTTCATATGTATTTATTTTTCATATTTATTTAGGTGTTATGAATGCAATAAAACGTCCTATATCAAAAAGTCTTTTATGTTCTGTCATACGAGAACATATATTATTTGAGAATTATATATCTGAACTAAATTAATTAATTATTTTAAAAATGAACACTCATTTCTAGTCTTTCCAATATATAGTTTATTGTTTTATTTTATTTTTTTGTTAATAAAAAAAATATATGTAAAAATATAAATGAAACACTTGTATTGTTAATTTAGTAGATTAAGAAAGAAACGTACTATTTTGCATTCTGAAAAAACTTATCATGCTGAGAAGTAATGATAATCTTTGAAACTACAGATACTTGTTTGGCATTTTGAATATTATTCGATTTATCAGTTGTCATCGGTTTTTCTCGTTTATTGTTTATACGGACGATATTAAGAATTTGAATCATTTCGAAAAAACTGTTAACAAAAAATGGCCAAACGGCTTATTTTGTAGGCCTCCACTTTCTTTCTCTCATTTTACAAAGAGATAACGCCTTCTTTTTGTAACATTGAATAGATTGTCAATAAAGACAGGCATGATCAACACCGAATATGTTGTCAATAAAAACAGATAAGATCAACATTAGTATACCTTGACAACCTTTGTAGAAAGAAAAAAGATATAATGAAATGGATTTTTCTATTCTGTCTTGATACATACTGTTATTTCAAAAATCAACAGGTAAAAGTATTGATATAGCCAAATACATAATACGATTTGAACTGTAATATTCATATCTTTTCAAAGTTCTGGATTTTCTCAGGCATTACTCACAATAAAAGTCGAACATCGTTTGTTTATAATAGTAATTTATGAAATTCGAAGGCATATTCGTAATGAATTAAAATTTTCAAAATGAGAATCTTCAAAACGATAGTTTATTAAAATACAATTCACGTAGTTCCATCTATATAGTTAGATTTGCAAACTCGCGACATCTATAAAATCAATTTCGTTAATTTCTTCTATTGAAAATTTTTGAAACATAAAACCTAAATTAAAAAATATTTTTCTTGTAGGAAGATTTAAAATATTCTATTTCCGGATATTTACATACTCAAGTGACTGAGTCATGACTTGTTGATGTTAATATTGATTATTCATCTATAGATACATACAGTCATTTACTTCTAGAATTTGTTTTTTTCTGTTATTCACTTACTTGACGAATATTCTCATCATCGTTGTCGTTTGTTCTTTTACAAGGTTAGAATTCATTTTTCATTGTACTTTTTTTTCCTATCATTTCATTATTGTCTTTTTATCAGATAAAAATGGCTGCAATAAGAAAAAAACTTGTTATTGTAGGAGATGGTGCTTGCGGTAATAAAAAAAAATTTTTTTTTATCAATTATTTTATTTTTGTTTAACTTTAGGTAAAACATGTTTATTGATTGTATTCAGTAAAGATCAATTTCCGGAAGTATATGTTCCAACTGTATTCGAAAATTATGTATCTGATATTGAAATTGATGGAAAACAAGTAAATCATTGCAGAAATTGAGAAATATTTCTATTCATATTAATTTATTTAGATTGAATTAGCTTTATGGGATACTGCTGGTCAAGAAGATTATGATCGTTTACGACCACTTTCATATCCGGATACAGATGTTATCCTAATGTGTTTTGCTATTGATAGTCCAGACAGTCTTGAAAATATTCCTGAGGTATAGATATAGAAGATGTTTTTCTCTTTCTTCTAACTAAAAAACTATTTATTTATGTAATAGAAATGGACACCTGAATGCAAACATTTTTGTCCAAATGTGCCAATCGTTCTTGTTGGTATGTATAAGATAAGATAAAATAAACTAATGTATAAGTTATGTAACTGAAAGAATGAATATAAGGATAATTCAAATGCAGAACAAATGTTTCTCGATGAACATTGACATAAAGAAAAAAAAAGAATGATTCAAATTTTTTTACAATTTTCTCCTCATCATAAATCATTTTATCTTAGTCATTTTTACGATGTCTACAAGAACATTTAAACTTGTAAAATCCGAGCTGACAATAGTGATATACTTCTATTTATTATTTCTCAAATCTTTGTCATACTATTATAAAGCCACAATAGAAATTTTACACATAAACAAATTCTTCGTTACTTTAGGTAATAAAAAAGATCTTCGTAATGATGAAGCAACAAAAAGGGAATTAATGAAAATGAAACAAGAACCAGTTCGATCAGAAGCTGGTAGAAATATGGCCGATAAAATCGGTGGTGTTGGTTATCTTGAATGTTCAGCTAAAACAAAAGAAGGTAAAGAAAAAAAAACTATAATTTTATCTAAAAACTTGCTTTTGTTTTGTTTGTTTTCAGGTGTTCGTGAAGTATTCGAATTTGCAGCACGAGCTGCATTGGCCCGTAAGAAGAAACGCAGAGGTTTTTGCTTATTATTTTAAATAGAGCAAAAATAATCTACAAATCGATTGTTATTACTATTGTATGTGTTTAATCGGGCCTGATAACATATTATTCTTGGCGCTAGTACACCTATTTTTTTCGTCTCGTAATACGTATATATATATACATATAATTAAACAAACCGTTGTCTTGTATAAATGTTGTGTTTTTTTTTCTTATTCTTGTGGTTTATTGTATGTTTCTTTTCTAAATTTATTCATACAAAAAAAAAGAGAAGAAGGTCTTATCTACATTAGCGAACAAAAACTCATATTTATTTATTTTATAACTGTAATCCTACGGAGATCAATTGTTCATTGATATAAAATACAGGGAAATGACTTTTAATTATATGTATGATGGGTAAGATAATCTGAATACAAGTTCGATTGATAGTAATTCAAATTGATTTCTTATTATCGACAATGACATATATAAAATCTTCGTTTTATAATAATAAACGATATATTTCTGTTAAAATAAAAGAATTCGTGTTGATAATCAGTTCTTCTTCTTGTATATGCTAATTTTATTGA